TCCCTTTCTCACTGATGAAACTAGGCTAGTTATTTTGTATTTTTGTATGGAGAAGGATTATGCGGAGCAGTCGTAGTGTTGAAGATGTCTGAGTGTGTTTAAGTGCAATATGTAATACTTGGCTTTAAGATTTAAGATGTTATTATTTTTTTATTTCTAGCCTATCTCCCTACCTGTAATTCCCCATATACATTTTGGCTAGAAATCTACCAGTTTCTAAGAACTTATTGCCATTTGATTACACAATAAATAATTTATGAAAATTGTGATTGTATGAAAGGTAAGAAACATTTCATTAATATTTTATAAACAAGGAACCCAAAGACAAAACTATCACTCAAAACATTAAGATATGATAGATTCAGTATTAAATCAGTTTGCATTACTTTTTTTTTTTTTTAAATTTAAGCCCAGATTCATTAATATACCAGAACAGCACAAATTATTCAAAGCACAGCATTTAAATTGAGTTTACATCTATTTTGCATCACCAGAGCAGTGCAGAACTGCTGAAGCATGTGAACCCAGCCCCTACTTTGGAGGACCCACATTAAACCATGGCCCAGGTTTCATGGTGGCTCGGCAGGAGCAGCAGTGCAGACCCTGAGTTCATTGGTTTGTGTGCTTTATGTGTTCCCACAGGTTCCTGCCACAGTTACACTGCATGGCTGCTTCCTTTGTGTACATTAGAGGCAGCAACTGTGCCAAGGGAGACCTTCTGAGAGCAGATACCCAGCTTCAGGTAGGGGCACAATTATTATTTTTTTTTCAGACAGGAGGTCTCTGAAGCAGCAAACTTCCAGTGGGGCTGCATGACACCGGCATGCAGCCCCCCTGCCTCAGTGCTGCTGTAGCCGGGACTTGCCAGGGTGCTGAGCTGAAAGGCTCCGTTCCTTCAGGGGGTGCAGTAGCCCCCCAGGAGCCAGCAAAGCTGCTCACACAAGCCTACTTACAGCCTGTATGGTTATAGCCATTAGCTATAGCCAGGAATAGGTAAACTTAATTACAACTTATTCTATTCATTTGTTTTTATACCCTATGCACAAGCTTTTAATTAACAATATGGAAAGTTTGATTGCATTATTTCATTACAAAGACTACTTAGGACAAACAAGAGGTCAATAGAAATGCTAAATTTCTTGAATGATTTCATTTTTAACTAATTTTAACTGAAGCTAATTAGCACATTAATTTTATGTTCTTAGAAAACTCATTATACATTCCCAGAACAAGCACTACAAGTATGGTGAGGATATATTTTTCATCAAAAATGCTGAAGTTGAGACATTGGGTTCAAGTGCAAAATAAATCCATACCTGAAATCATGGGGATGTTATAAGGGAGCTAATGGAACTGCGACCAGCATCTCTGTAAGAGCTAACACTGTTTCATTTAGTACACTTACTAAGTACTCATAGGAATCTCCCCATACCCAAAAGGCATGCACATGAAGCATACAAGTAAGAACGTGGTTTCATTTGCTCATTATAGAAGCAGAAAAAAGTTTAATCTTATTTAAAAGGTAGTAGGATTATATTTTTTTCACACATGCATTTTTGATGATGGAAAGTTTATATTCATATGTTTGCCACATATATGTATACCTACACATACATATACATATATGCCATATATAAGAGGAAAACCATTCTCATACTTAGTTTGAGACTGGCTTATGTATGAGACTGACTGACATCCCTTATATCCTGTCTTCATAATCATACCAGTTAGTCTCTTCTTTTAATTTGTTGAACTTGTTTGGTGAAGATTACAGCATCTGAGGTTGCCAATATTTTATCTTTTGTGAAGGACTTCTCAGCTAGCGTGAGTTTCTACTGTTCCCCATGGGCCCACAGTTGCTGTGGATTATACTGGTCCAAGTTGTGTCCGCAGCTGATTTCAAACAGTGGGAACTTCTGGATCTTTGGGTCCATGTGGTGCTTTCGTAGCTCCCTGGGCTCTTATTCTTTTATTACTCTTGCGATGAACTCAAAGGGAGCCTAGCAGTGAGATTGGGGAAGCTTTCTGACATGTTAATCTGACCAATACTAGTGATTCTTAAAGATGATTCAAACCCAGCAGCACTCATGGGGAGAAGACCTCATGTCACAAGTCCTTCCAAATCAGTTAGATTTTATGGGACATTTAAACTTTACTTATGCAACCACGCACATCATTCAATATGCACATTCCTTATAATGAGCTTTATGCAGGTGAATTAATTAGCAGAGATGTTACACAAATGTGTAGAGTTCATAGACATATGTAGCTTCCATTTTGTATTTAGTATACTTCTTAAAAAAAAAATGCAGTTGAAAATAAAACATTTTATCTTCTGCTCAGGATAAGTAGAAAACTGGATTAGGACAGGATTTCTTTTTCGCCAAGCTGTCAGTCAGACTTTGATTCAAATCAATAGTGCAGAGAGTTAATTTTCAGCAGACAGCTTTTCAGTAGCCTTTTTGAAATGAGTTCATGGGTTCACAGCAATTTTTTGTGCACAAGTACCTGTGTTGAATAACAAGAAAAAGAATGACTATTCTTATCTGTAGATTTCAACAGGAAGACTGAGAGCTTAATATGGCTTTACACTCCTAGGCAGACCTCCTAACTCAGTGTTAGATGAAATGACGGGACTTGTACTGCCAGTGCTGTACCTGCTCTGGAGTGAGAGGACACTGCTAGCAACTTGTGCAGGCACAGTGTGCGCTCTTTGTCACACACTGAATGAAATTATCAGGCAGCAGGTTCATAGCAAACAAAAGGAAGTACTTTTTCACACAAATCATAATTAAATTGTGGCACTCATTGCCACAGAATGTGGTTGAGACCAAAGTATAAATGGATTAAAAAAAGGGAGCACAGAAAGTCAGGGGCTTATTACACATGATGGTCTGGAAGCAAACTCCAGGTTAAGAAATCCCTGTACTATGGCTTGCTTGAACTTAAAAGGATATGCCGGGAAAAAAACACTGTATACCAGCCCTGTTTCTTACGTTTTTCTCCCTTCAGCATCTGCTAATGACTGCAGTCAGAGCCAGGATATTGGACTAGATGTCCAACTCACTATAGCAATTCTTTTGATCGCATGCTTTTAATCAAATTATGTTCCTATTTTGGCTACTTAGAAGGATCTAAGGCCCTGATTAAGAAAGGCATTTCAATGTCTGACTCTCGCGTATTTTAGGGAGGTAAATACTTGTGTCTATCATGGCCTGCAGTTCTGAAGCCGTAAACTTACTGGGGTGGGGCACATGTGTCTTTTGTTAGGACTTTGCTTATTCCAAGTATGGAATCAAATGAAAATACATATTTGATAACAGTGATAACAGTGTGTAACACCATGTCTTTATAACGGTGAAATAATTTGTTTGCTTAAACGACTTGGGCCACGGGAAAATTCCCTAGTGATTTACGTAAGGATGATGCCACTACCATCCACTGATTTGAATAAGGATTAACTTCCTTGATACAACTCCCCAAATTTGCAGTGCTTGTATATTACATTTGTTGAAAGCTATTTATCACCTGTTACCCATAATACTAGTGCCAGACGATATGTAACTTACTTACATTTACCTAGCAGGGTATTTGAGATTTCATCCATTTTGCAAAAGCATCTGGCTGCAAACCTGAGACACACATCGGTGAAAATCCACATACGGAAATGAGGAAACTGAATGCCGAAAATCCTAAATTTTACCCCTGCCGATGCTAAGCCTGACGGCGCGGGTAGGGTCCCCTGATGAATCAACAAGAGGCACCTATAAATTGTGCAACGCGGGCTTGACAGCCGAGCAAGCGAGGCGACCTCAGCCTGCTTAAAACCGCGGGCGGGTTCATCCCGGGGAGAGGTGAGGAACCGCAGCGCACGGCGGCTTTGGGAGGCTGGCGGGGATTGCAGCATCCCCCCGCCGCACCGGCAGCGGCAGCAGCCGGGATTTCCCCGGGTTCAGGGAAGCCCCGCGCCGCCCGGGGCCGCGCCGCCGTGCGAGGACCGGGGCCGGGGGAGCGAGGGTCCCACCGGGAGCAGCCCCAGCCCCGCCACTCGCTCCCCCCGCCGCCGTGCCGCCCCCGCCGGCATATACCGGGAAGGAGGCCAGGGCAGGAGGCTGGCGGTGCCGCAGGGCAGCGCGGCGGGGGCGGCCCCCGGGGGCTCCCCGGCCCGGTGGGGGCGGCCGAGCCGGGGACTTGGGGTGGGGGCAACAGGGGAGCGGGAAGCAACTCTCGGCTTCGGAGCAACGACTCGGATGTTCGCCTGCACCTTACGCCGGCTCCTCGGATGAAAACGGTAATAGCGATAATAATGCTAATTGCTGCCCGCCGCCCGCCAAGCAGAGCCGCGATACGCGGGGGAAGGTCAGGAGGGAAGGGAGGCAGGAGGAGCGCTGCCTCAGCTGCGAGCCGGCGGCTGTCACACCGCCAGCCCATGCCCCCGGCTTCCCCGGGGGCGGCACGGTCCCCCTCCCTTCCCGTGTCCCCCCCCCTTTTCCACGTCCCCGCCCCGGGCTGGGCAGCATCGCCCGGCTCGGCGGATGCCCCACGGCACCCCGGGCACCAACCGGGGGGGCGGCGGGGGAGGGAGCGGGCAGAGCCCGGCGGCACCTCTCCCCACCCCTTTGTGCATCGCGGGCACGGAGCCGCGCACACACACACACACGCACATACACACACGCATACACACACGCATACACACACACACACACACAGAAACACCACCTTGCAGCCTCGGCGCCGCAGCCGCCCGTTGTTACACACACACACTGACACACACACACAGCCGGTCTCCCCATTTTCAGCCTCACTCCACCGCCCTCCATCCACATCCCCTCTCACCTCCCTCCTCTTTTCCTCCCCCCCTCCCCTTTATTTTTTATTTTTTCATTATTTTTTTTTTCTCCCCCCCTCCACCCTCCCACCCCGCGCATCAGTCCGAAGCAGACATTTTGCTGCCGTTCCGCACGGTTCAGGCTGAAACCCCAGCGGAGCGCCTTACCCACCCCCGCCCGGCTGCGTGCGGTTGGCGCTGAGCGATCCCGGGAAGGGCTGCGGCGGCTCGTCCTAGCGGAGCTGGGCTGCTGCCATCCGCCCAACTTCAGCACCCAGCCGGCAGGGAGAGGAGACGGCGGCGGGCGGGCGGGCGGGGAGGGAAGGAGGGAAGGAGGCAGAGCAGGGAGGAAGGGCGGGAGGCAGGGAGGCAGCGAGGGGAGGGTGCGAGGAGCGGAGGCTGGGAGCCTCGGCACATGCGCTCTGCCACCGAAGCGGGAGTTTCCCCGCTTGGCCCCGGCGGGTGAGTCACGGCACGGCTCGGCTCGACACGGCTCTGCACGGCACGGCACGGCTCGGCACGGCCCCGCCGCCCGCCGGCTGCGGGGATGCTCGGGGGATGCTCGCGGGGAAGCCCTCGGTGCAACCCCCGGCACGGCCGCGCCTCCGCGGGGCTCCTCGGCGGGGGTCCCCGGAGCTGCGAGGGCGGCGGGGGCCGCGGTGAGTCCCCCTCGCTCCCCCCCAGGGGTCCCCGCAGCCCCGCGGTGGCCGTGCCGGTGGCCTGGGAGTGCCCTGCTGCAGGCAGCCAGGAGCCGCGGTGGCGAGGGGTGGCTGGGCTGCGGCTTAGGTTTTTTTTCTTGTCCCCATATTGGTTTGTAAAAAAAAGAGAAGTAGGTGTTTAAAACGCTATCCAACTCTTCCTTCCGCTCGTGCAGGCAAGAGCAGTGCAGGGATTTAGAGCCTGATTAACTTTTTGATGTCAGGCACCTGAAGAACAACGCCTGGATAAAGAACCAGCATGGATCTGTTAGTTGTGACCGTAAGAAACAACACCAGGATGTTCTGAAAATCTGGCTTCGAATCCTGAATCCTGCCAGATCTTGCCAGTCATTTTTTCCCCAGCTTCCCAAACTCCAGTTTCCAAATTTTGTCTCAACAGAGAACGTTACTTAGCTTCCCTGCTGCACCTTAAAAATCTGGAGCCTGATATGCCTGAAGGCAACGGCACTGGAAAAAATACATATTTGGCACCTGGATCCTGTCAAATCATGCCACGAATCCAGAAATGTTAATATCTCAAGAGAGAACACATTGCTGCATTTACCACTCAGTCAAAACAATCTGGCAAGATGGTACAAAAAGGCACAAGGCTGGATTAAGGTGGTACTGCGCCTCGCCAGCAACCCATACTGATTCTCTTCACAACACCGATCTAGACACTTGTGCATCTCAGCTAGATCTCAAAGTAGAGTGTGCTAAAACTGAAGCCAGATCTGTGTTTGTATTAGTAGGGCTGAAATTAAAAGGTTTGGAAGCAGTCCAGAGGGGAAGCTAACCGTCACTCCTATTTTCTTCTGATCCTGATCCTCATGGCAGAGAAATCTGAGAACTGGAATACATAACTCTGCTTGATACCAAAGGTTATTGGCTAAGTGAAGGCCATGATGGAAACTTCATATCATGTTTCCATCCAAAGTAGCCTTTCAGTTTTCCACAGGCAAAATTTTTCCAGTTGTTTCTTCTGTGGCTTACAGGTGCTCATACATTGTCACCTTTTCCCTGGCAATTGTCCCCTTCTTCTCCTACAGCCTTCTCTTGATTTGTTCAGCCATTTTAAACATAATAAAGCAAGAACAGGAGACCTTTAGTTTGATATTTAAGCTTTTGTTTAGGACTTGAAGAAGGTCTTGAGAGCCCGATTTTTTTTCCCCTCCAACTATGCCAAGTGTCTTCAAAAAATGCTACCTATACATAGAGTTTTCCCCTCAAAATTTTTAGTTACATGCATAAATAAAGATGTAGGTGTAACTCCAAGTTAAATAACCATGTGGATGGCAATTGGGAAATCTTTATGGAAATTTAGCTTACGTTCTGTTTCTTCCAAAATAGTACTCGGAGTTTTGAAAAAGAAAAAAAAATGCTTATGAAGTGTTAACAGTTTTGAATATGCTTCAAGCTCATCTTCACTGTTCACAGACAGTTAAAGAGAAGTTAAAACTGCCTTGTCTTTACGCAGTCCACACCCTGGATTGAAGTAGGGTATCCCTTCTTTCAAGAATACAACAAATGTGTAAATTAGATTTTCTGATCCTCCAAGAAGGCAGACCTTGGGAGACATTCAGAAAAGAGCATATTTCGTTGTCAAAAACATCCAAACCAAGAACACATATACACAGAGATGTAAATAGGAAAAACAATTAGAAGGCTCACTAAGAAATGTGCTTCCCAGCACTAGGAATCACGTCTGCTGCTCCTGTACTGATGGCATTTGACAGGTTGTGTCCTGGTACAACAAGCAACAGCATAACACTGCCCGGTTGCTCCTTGGATTCTCCAAAATGAAAGACAGTTTTATATTCTGCCAAACCAGTGTTCTGAGCTTTGCATATCTGCAAAGTTTAAAGAAAAAAAAAAGTGTAATTAGACATTGCTCTCCAGAAGGATGAACGATTAAGAGTGAGTGATGAAGGACAACTAGGAAGAATGAATGTTCAGAATTTCATATTTGTTCTATTCTGAGTCTCTTAACAGGTTTTGCTAAGTGATGATTAAAAAAATAAAATAAAATAAAAGGTATGTTACTATATGTTAGGTATATTAACATTTAGTATAGAATTAAATTTAAAGAACATTGATGCTATTCCAAGCCTCAGTTCAGGAAAGTCTCCCTTTTTAGGAAATATTCCTAAAAGGAATATACTTAAAGGTCATACATTGGAGCTTATTAATTTCATACTGAAGACAGTAAGCCTTTAGAGCTTCTGTAATATTAGGACAACAGTTTTGACAACAGTTTTGTTCTGACTATGAAACCCATCAATCAAGTGTCTTCTCCCAAAGATTTAGTAAGTACATAGGAAGTATATGCAGGTGTTCAGGTGTTCAACATATGTATATATACACCAGAATGTCCATATATATATATATCAATATATTATATATATATATCCACATACCAGAAAAAAAATCACAATTTTAGAATTTTATGTTAGAAAATGTTATGCTTCACTTATTTAAATGAATAAAAGATTTCAGATTTCTATGACTTCCTTAATGTTTCCCACAGCCATTCCTATTTACTGCAGCTTCCTGCACTGAAGCCATTCCTTGTTGTTCTTTGAACTCCTGTTTATAAATACACTTACTTTCAATAGCTGTTCAGCCACTCTGTTCAGACCACTGACTAATCCTTTTGCCTATTATAGACCCCTGCAATTGTGTTCAATGACTTTTTCTTCCAGGCCTTTCTATCTTCTCTCCCTAGTTCCTGTGTCTTGTTCCATGCTTCTTTGCATTTCTTAACCCAAACAATTTCCCTGTTACCATGCATTCGTTATTTTTTAATTAAAACCTGTTGTCATCATTTTTTCCAATGAATTGTCACTGACTTTTGAGAAAAATGAAAAGGACATAGTAATGCATTTTAAAATATTTTATTTTATTTATTTATTTTTTTTAAAGCTAGAACACTGTGTACACAAGAAGGCTTTCTGGTATAAAGATTACATATAAATATAATAAAATCATTATACACCAACTTTTGATCTTTGATATCAAGATGCCTATTACTTTAATGAACATGAAGTTAGGTTCCTTATTTTCCAGTAGAAAGGCTCCATGATTGTTAGTTGACTAACAATCTAGTTAACTTCAGACAACTTCATATTTTACCTGTACAATACAAGATGTTTAAAATTTCTCATGGTCATAAACTCATCAAGATTACATTCTGTAAATAGTAGTCTCTGCCCCTCTTCAACATTAAAAGAATCAATGGCTATCATTAAAACAAATCAATAGTCAAAACCTCAAATTGATCAAAAAGTCATGACTTTCTTTCATTTCTCCAGTGTTGCTTCAATGTGATACAAAATGAATTATTTAAAATATGTCTGAGCCCCTAATGATATACTTTTTTTTTCTTGTTTTCTTTTTCTGTAAGCAGCATATTGCAGCAGCTCAAAGGTGCTTACATTTGTACCATCAACTAGGCAATGAGTTAGAAAAATGTTTTGTAGTTACAGAGGTGACTGTATGTTCAAGGTCTGCCTCATGCAAAATACTAATTTGAATCTTAGCTATGCCTATGAGACAGCCATGGCTGTTATTAACCACCAGAGTAGCTAATGCTATTTGATATTGTTAGAGTTCAGAGAACAAAAAAGACCTTGCTATGCTGCTAAACAGAAAAATATGGAAAAAAAAAAAAGAACAAAAAAGAACAAACTAACAAATCCCAACTCCTCCTCTTTTGCACAAGCAAATAAATTGAAGAAGTGATCCTTTTGCATGGGCTGTTTGGATGGAGAGATGGCTTGCAAAATGTGAGTAACGCTACAGCATCTCAATGTTACAAAGATTTATTCTGCAGTGGCAATAGATTGAACAAATTCAGAGTCTGTCTCTGAGAGTCCAGTTTCAGATTTCCCCCAAGCAACATTGATAATTTGGCTTGTTTATATGCAGAAACAAAGGCTTTAGAGGTCCCCTTATTAAAGAACTGCTCTTTGCAGATGGCAGTGCACTTGTAGCTCACTCAGAGCAAGACCCAGAGATAATGACATCTTGTTTTGCAGCTGTTTCTGTTAACTTTGGCTGAGCAATCAGTATTTCAAAGGCTGGTATTATGTGCCAACAGGCACCAAAACCCTGAAGTCTGTTGACTCAAAGGGGAAGAAAAATGTCACTGGCACTAAACTGAATAAACCAGACTGAACTACAGCTCTGGTGTATGAGATAGCCTCCTGTGGGCTTAAGCTATCCTGGTAGCCCTTTGATGCTAGCTCAGTAACAAGTTGGTTTTATCATTTACCATTTCAACAAGTAAATTCTACTACAAGCTATATAAGCCAGTTTACTTCAGTAACTAAGTGATCTGATCACTCTGCAGTGAAACACATCTGCTCTTTGAGTGAAAGTGAACAGAAAGGACCAGGAGATGGTAAGTTATATATATATATATATATGTTTAAACATATATATATATGTTTAAAGACTAGTAGTCAGAAAAGCCACTTTTATCTCCTAAGAAATGACACTTGGGTGGGAAGAAGTATGTAGTATTTTGGATGTGAATTCATTCTAGTGAATGATAATCCTGGGGTTATGAATTTTGAAAAAATAATAAAAACTTGTCAGGATCAAGGTTAAGGTGCAGCTCATAAAATACAGATTTT